GCCCTTTTCTCCTCATTATTCCTGACGCGAGGAAGAAACGGTACGTGCGCAAGTGAGCCAGAAATATAAAACCCAAATTCTTAAAATTCTTTGGTACGAATATACTGAAAAAGAAAGTAAAACGCTGATCTATATATTAAACATTAGAAAAGCTTAAAAGTATCCTAACTCTGAGAGTATTTAATATGGGATGGAAAAAAACAACAATTATTTTTTCGCGCGTATCGAAATGAAACATTTTAAAAGAAACTTGAGTACTAATCGTCAAGTTTATAAAAAAAATACAGATTATATAAAACATATTGCCAATGGCATAAAAGTATTAAAATTAGTAGTAATGCTCATCAGTAAAGAAACTCCAGCGTGAAATTCCGGTACCATTCGTTCACTTGGAATAAGAATTTTGGTCAAATATTTTATCCTGTGAAATCCAAACGTTTCTATTTTAATGTAGTTTTGTTATACATAAATTAAATGATAAATTACTTTTGAAGACTGGCAAGCAACTCGTTAAATTTAGGCGCCTTTAATAGATTTTACGACTATGATTAAGCTAACTTAACATGGCAACTACTGATAAATAGTTAAGTGACTACAGATCTAAAAACAATTAGAAAACTACAGATCACTTAATTTTTAAACCAACGATAAATTCGGTTATAATTTGTGCACACAAACAAATAGATAAAAAAAATATGAAAGAAGCATTGGGAACGCTGAAAATCTCTTGATAAAAATAAAAATAATTTTCTTTTTATAAAAAAACAAAAAAAACGGTCACCTTAGAAAAAGTGAATTATGGTTTCCGGGAACTTTAGGGTTAGATTTCATTGCGTATGGTTTACCAAATGTTGTTTGCGTGTATAATATAGGAATACTTAAAACTGTTTTCCTAAAGCGTAGCTAAACCAGTTAGGCCTAACTGATGTAATTAGTCTTCCCGTGTTTTTTTTTTAGTCTTACTTGTATATGTTTTAAGTAATATTAATTGCTCAGTACTCTTTAAACGGTTTTTAGACATTTGTTTTGCAGTACATAATGTTAAACATGTAATGGCCACGCAGGTTTTCACTGGAATCTTGCAGTCGTGACATCGGAATCACGATTTTTGCGAGTGTTATCATTTATTATATAAGATATGACGTAAAGAACGTCATCTCAGTAATGTCAACGTTATCTAGAAGAAAAAAAATGGAAAAAATTAAGCGGCGTTTTTTTTAAAGAAGATAAACTTGCGTTAGTATTCGGCTGGTGTAAAAACCAAAACATATTATATGGATACCGGTCTACTTACTACACGCATCCCCATCTCAGCAAGGGAATCAAACTGTCAACTATAATCCAAGATGAATCAAACACGTGACAGTAATGACGAAGGTGGGTTGTTTTCAGTATATCCAGAAAGCAGTCACACCCACCTTGACGTGCTTGTGCTGGGATTGTTAAAAGCCGCTTAGATAACCTTCGAAGACATGATTAAAGTATCAGTTGTCAAGGGAACGTCACAGAGAAAAAATTATACAGAACAATTAAAGCTTCGAATCTAAAATTATTTCTTGGGGTAGGGGGGGGCACTAACGATTATGGTAGAGTCAATAGTGGAATAATTCAAAATTAAGTTTTAATATATCTTTCATTAATGAAACTAGTAAATAATTACTACATTTATATCATTTTAAGGAGGGAGCGCGCAAGAAACCATATTCATTTACGGGGTGTGTGGATGTAATTGAGCTTCAAGATTGGGTCTTGGTCATTTCGAAGCATTTCTTCACATTTACTCAGTGTCCAGTAAATCACATCGCTTCCAGTTTGTTTTCACGCGAACCTCAGAATATTTCAATCAAAACAAAAACCAACTCTTCCAATATTTTAATACCGAGGGTTAACTGTAATGTACAATAAAGACGTTCCAGGTTCCTAGATGCCCTTGAAACTACTTCCTTCATCGTTTATTGTGCCTAGTCTGATGACCACGATTATTAATTATTGCCCGACACCGAAATAACCATTGTTAAAAGTTTTTGTGAAGAATGGCAAGTTCAGTCTTGGATCAAATACCCTGAAAAAGATTCCAAAGTCTGTCACATATATGGGAATAAGGGCGCTGGTTGGTCCTATAGTAAAGCTCTGGTTTTCTGTGTTCAGTCTTGGATCAAATACCCCGAAAAAAGATTCCAAAGACTCTCACCTATATGGGAATAAGGGCGCTGGTTGGTCCTATGGTAAAGCTCTGGTTTTCTGTGTTCAGTCTTGGATCAAATACCCCGAAAAAAGATTCCAAAAGACTCTCACCTATATGGGAATAAGGGCGCTGGTTGGTCCTATGGTAAAGGTTTTCTGAGGCGAGCCGGGTTCAAATATGTTCGATACGACAAAATATTCCTTACATCTTAAGCTGTGATTGCGTTATAAGAGTAACAGATAATTCCTTAGCATCGATGGTAAATGGTAGGGTGCTACTGACTGACTACTGGCAAGTTATCCTTAGTAGCTTTTAAAGGTGTGGCGATACAGCGATACCATACGAGTATGATATCGCGAAGCCATGATACGATTTGTGTATCTTCACAAAATTCGGCAAGCTTTCAGTAAACATTATAAGTCTTTTGTACAGAAAAAATCAGAATTTCTAATAAAGTATTTCTGCTGAAAATTAATGATTCAATAAAGTAAGATGTTGTATTCATTTCTTTTATCAAAAACATTACATGAAAAGTAACATAACAAATTAACAATAACAAAATAGATAGAAATTAACTTTTTTTTATTT